TTCTCCACAACTATTTAATAAAACGCAAAATTAGTTCTTTTAATTAGGATTACTGTTGATGATGTTTATTGCCCCTTAAAACCATAATCCTAAATTATGATTTTATAATACTGTCCTATATGCCTGATTTTTCTAATACCTTTGCCCTTTGCTATGTAGAAAACTTGCTCAGCAGGTATGTTCTTTTTTTTTTCTTTTTTTCTTCCCTGGCTGTATCATCTTCAACTTTTTTTTCTTGTCTTGGATTGTTTGAATTTCATCTTGCACTTTTAAATGTTTTTTCCTTCTTTATGGTGGGAGGGGAAAAAGAGAAGAGGTAGAAGCTACATTTTCATTGCTTTTGGAGCTAAATTTAATGACAGCTGTACCGACAATTTTCTTCTGTGTTTACATGCAGCCAGGAGCTATGGGCGGAGAAGAGGTAAAAGTATTTACTAAATGTTTTGTTTGCTGAATAGTGGGAGAAATAAATATTTAGTTTTCTTGTGATAAGATGATGCTACCAATTTTAACATTATTTAGTTGATCAGTTGCTTCATATAAATCAATCATGTTCTTCCTTTGCAAAACAGCTCCCTTTTAACAGCATCTTAAAGCAATGATGATCCTGAGGTGATAACTTCAGGTGTGTTGCTATTCCTAGAGAACTGGAGGATGACTGAATGTAAAGACTCTCATGACATGTATTTGTGACTTGAAATGCATAGTGTTCCAAAAAAAGATCAGGTTTGGGTTTATGTTTGGTGTGTGCTTGTTTTGTAGAAGTGCAATGTTTAACTGCTGCATTGAACATTTGAAATTTACTTTTTTTCTTACATGAAATAGCTTTTGCTTCATTACATTAAATTGCCTCAGATAGAACATGTGAATACCAATACTAGTAACTGTCCTCAACAGCAAATATTCATGATCATTTTGAAAAGATACAGTATTTGAGCACATTTTAACAGTACTTCATCACAGAGAACCCTTAAAAGCAAACTGAAAATATTTTATAAATATACAGTGTTGCATATGAGTTTATTCTGAGAGATGAATGAACAAAGACAATAGCTGTATTGAGCAAGCCACTAATGCAGCTCACATTTATGTCCTGTGCTGTAGCTTACACAGACTATTGAGAAAATAACAGTGAAAACAGCAGCTTTAACCTTTAGGCAGTGCCATCTGCACAGGGTACTTTAGCATTAAACTTAATTTTATCTTCCTTTCCGTGAAGTTCTCTGCCAGTTCTGCAGGTGACATTGCCTCCTTTTCCTAATGTAGAATTGGTATCACAGTTGAGAAGAACCTTAGAGGCAGATGTATCCATCACACAGACCAGTAGTGTCTAAGGGTGTGTAATTTGTGTGGATTGAGGTGGTGGGCTGTACAGGCCATACTAACACAGTTTGTAATAAAGAATTTGCTCTGATTTTGTTCCAAGCTGACTCCTTTTAATGTTTATTTGATAGCTAAATCTGAAACAAAAGATTCACATTTTCCTCACAAACTTACCTTCCTATTTTCCCTACCTGCAGAGATCAGGCTACTGTTAACAGATGTTGAAAGCATTCTAATACTTTTTCAGTGCTTCCATGGTACTGAAACAAATTGGGAAGTATGTGGAGTATACAGTAAGGTGTACTCTCTGTGCATGTAAAGAGTTTAATTTTATTTTAAGATTGTGACAGGTGTTTCCAGATTGATCAAATGGCACCAACGTAGGAAATGAGGTAGGAATCAGTAGGATACTATAAATTACTTGCAACTCTTGTTTACTTGTAGAAGCAAAATACAATAAAGCAGAAGTAATTGTGATGAATGTAATTTAGGCTGTTTTATACGAATTTAAGTGAAGTCAAAACAGGGCAAACAAGTTTGAATGTGCTGGCTTTTCAGATTTTTTTTTCTCACTACCAAGAAGCATGTTTCATTCCACAAGATTGTGTCCTGTGTGAAATGCAGACTTTTCCATACTAACAAGTAGATTTGTGTGTGTCTTGTCATTAATGTTAGGGATTTTTACTTGCCTCATTCATATTAAAGTCTGTGATGTTCATGCTTTATCATTACCTTTATAATGTTGGTTTTAAGCTTTAAGTGTGAAATTCTACAACAGTCTGTTAAAAAAAATGCATTGGTTATGAAATATTCTCATATATCCATCCCTCTCTATTATTGCTTTTCCCATTTGCATTGGGATAATATGCAGAGTAACCACAGGAAAGTCTGTGCAAGGACTCATTTTATGTTGGTTATACTTGGATATTTTAATTAGTGTTTGATTCTGTCACTGTGACTAAACATCTTCAGTGAGAAGAGGTTTTGTCAGACATTTCTTGAGGCTTACCATAAACTCTCAGTTCTCTACTCGATTCTCTGTTTCCTTTGAGAAAAGAGATGAGCATTTCTTTGTAGATATCATGTTTAGAGCTGTTGAGTCATGTTCTTGGTACCTTGTTTTTTAACTTTTACAACCAGTTTTTCAGGTACAGATGTAAGCACTGCTGTGGGAAATCAGCCCAAACTATTTTGCTACACTGACAACTCAGAGATACCCAGAGAGAGGTGCAGGAGTATGTTACAAAAAAAAATGCATTTAGTGATGCTTTCCCTTAATGTTCTCTCAGAAATTTGCCCCAGGGGGTCTCTTGAGGTGATGTTTTAATATTTATTGCTTTGGATTGCATTTTTCTCCTGTTCTTACTCATTCCCGTTTCTAAGCCTACATAAATATTTCAACATCTCAAAAAGTCTGTAGCCAGGGTTCCAAAGTTTGCCTTGCTTTCAGCCTTGGCATGTACTGATTGTGTTCAGTTTATTTTTCCCTTACTAGAGAAGACTGAACAGTCATTCCTATTCCCTTGTCTGTATGCTTTCCATTATTTTAATTGTATTCTTCTCACATTTAGGTCTATACTTTACTTAGCTATAGACTTATAGAGCATCATTTGCATTTATTTAAGGTGAGTGTGGTGCTTGTAGACTGCCAAGCATCTGGCATGGTGCTTAGAGGTGATAGCTTGCTTTCTAAGTTGCTGTGAATTTTTTTTTATTGTTTCCTTCAGAACTCAGTCTCCTCTGCAGATCTGTATTTTAGTTGAACACTTTGTTATTAATTTGATATGTCATCTTCCACTAATGGCTCATGTTTGTTGTTGGGTTACTTTTTCACAAGAAGGTAGGTTGATGGGCAGGAATTAAAAGATAATTTATCTCTTCAGTAATGTCAGTCTCTGAGATTTTTTCAGATTTCCTGTTTTTCAAAGATTTGATATTTTTACACAGTTATAGTATTCTTAATTATTTTTTCTCTCATCCAAATGTTATCTTTTATGTTGAAATGCATGTGTTTATACATGTGCATGGCCTCTTTGTCCATTAATGGAATATTCATCAAAAGTCTGTTTTATGTTCTAAATCCATCATTTCGGACAACAAATTTCTACTTCGAAAGGTAGCATTTCTACATCCTTCTCTGATTGTGGCATTTACCCTGTTTTTTATGTTGATGTATAAATGCATGGTAGGATTTTTGCTTCAGTGGATCTTTGTGTCTGATCTCTGTCAGTGTTTGACATTCAATATATTCTTTTTAATCAACACTTTTCTGGTGCCTGATGTTTATAAAAAAAAAATCAGGCTGGTGGAGTGTGTCAGTGAGAACATCTTTCCTGACTTCATTAGCTTATCTTCCATACACAGGATTGCTGCTTCTTTTTTGTAATCTGTTCTTTGCTACTGGAGACAATTGACAATTACTGATATTTTCAGTGTATATGGTTTTCTGACTGCTGTCCCTCTGTCTTGATTTTTCTCCTTGCCTCTATTTTTATTTCCCTTACTTCCCTGTGCTGTTAATACCAGGAAGGTATTAATCCTTAGGTCTTGCTAAGTCAATTTCATGTGATCCATTACCTTTGAATTTAATTATGTGCACTTAGAAAAGTGTAAATATATTTGTAATCAGCCCCCCTATAAACTGTTTGTATCAATTAATTATAATTCCATCCCTGGGAGCAATCCTCCATGGTATGAGGGGACAAATAGCCTTTTCAGATTTGAAGTGTGGCTCCTATTTATACAGCTCTCTGCATTGCAGGATGTATTTTTCAACTCAGGTATAGCGAATTGTTAAATTCCAAAGCTGGCAAGTGTTGCTTATGTGCAGTCTTTGAATATTTTATCTTTCTTGTTAATAAATCTGTTCTTAAGTTAATGTGTGTATACTTTGTTAGTAAAAGCAACAAGTTAATTGCATCAGATGGTTACAAAAATTCTTTACTTTTCATTAACAAACTGAGTGGCAGCCATTTGTGTTGATTTTACTCATTCATTACTGAAAGGATGCTTTAACTCTGAGTAGCAAACAGGCTGACAGGCTGTTCTAGCTAACAATGTTTTCCTTCAAGTGCAAGTTCTTTGTCGTTTATTTAACAAGATTTTTTTTCTTGTTCAATGAGTTTCTTCACTTTGTGTTTAATATCCACAATCCAGAGCTTTTCTGTGTTTATTTTGCTGTTTGCCCCCCTACTCAGCACGGGCCTGTGTTCTGTGGAGGTGGAAGTGCTGCAGCCCTTGTTGTCAGCTCTTGTTGTACAGCCCTCAAAGGACTGTCCTGCTCTGCAGTGCAGTGGCTTGAGGGATCCTGAGATCATCCCTTCAGGATCTGTTTTGGAAGGTGTAAATCTCTAAGAATTGGTTTGAAATGAGGATCTTGCAAAGGTTATTTCTATAGCTATGGCACATAATCTCATCAGATAACTTGTTTTTCATTTCCATCCATTTGCAAGGGTTTGTTTTAGAGCTAAATTAGGTTTCTTATCTTGTAAGGCAATACACTCTTGGAAAAATAGAAACAATACAAATGAACATGAATTGGACAACTGGACCACCTAACTGAGGCTTTTAATGCAAGTTCTGTTCAAGTAAAACAGTCAAAGGAAAAGGCTTTTTACTAAGGTATTTCATTCTCCAGGAAATAGTGTTAACTATAGGTCCTACAAAATCTATTCCAGGTCGGTCTTCACTCTTCCCTTTTGAAGATGGCTTCCTAGATGACAGCCATGGTGATCAGTCATTGTCCTCGGGTCTCAGCTCTCCGACGCGCTGTCAAAACGGGGAAAGAGTGGAACGCTATTCTAGAAAGGTGTTTGTTGGAGGTCTTCCTCCTGACATTGATGAAGGTACAGTGAATCACTTGCATTGCTGAAATGTGGGAATTGGCTTTCAGATAATTTCTATTAAAAAGGTCAGATTTTCATGGAAGCAGATGGATTTTCCCAGGTGTGTCTCTTATAGTGCTTGTGGTGTTATTTAGAACAAACACACTCTACCCCCTGCAACACCCGAGAATTTACTTGGTGTTCTTGTGAACTGCAGATCAGAAGAGATGGAGGCAGAAGTGACTGCATAGCAGGTCTTCTGATCTGCATGTCTTCCCACGACTGTCAAGTGGGAAAGCTGAAAAAGGGAACTTAGTGGGTACTGTCTCTCCTCTATAGTCTTTCCCTATTCTTGGATGTGGTTGACTTTAAGGACTTTCTTAATGCAGTCCTTACCAAAATACCAGGGGCTTTAAATAAACAGCTCTTATACCCAGCATGTATGCAGGGTTCAGATGATAAATACAGGGTAATGACATGGTTACAAAGTAATAACCTGCTTAGCGAGGATGGTCAGAGTTTTGCTCAATCATTATCTGCTCTACTTGTGTGTGCCTCCACAAACCCTTACTCTCAAACTAAAATCATGAAAGTTTTTGCTAATTTTTTGTGTTTTTCATAGCTGGAATATAGCTATAGGAATCCACCACTGTCTAGCTTCACTGGGAATACACAGGGAATTTGAGGATGCCTTATAATGAAAAGAGGGAGATCTCTAATCTACTAATCTGAAGCCTAAACCATGTACAGTGTTAATGAAGAAATAGTATGAGTTGCCAAATATCTCAAATGCAGTTCCCATGTCACACCAAGAATTGCAGGGCTGTACAGGGTCTGGTGGGTAATCTGGATTTGCAGCTGTAAGAAGCAGCAGCCCAGCAGGGACAACTGATGTGAGCATTGCTGGGTCATTCAGAATCAAAATACATGCCCAGTCTGTCCTGTGAGGAAGTAACATGGTGACCTGCAGCTGTCACTCTCCTTCCTGAGAAGTCTCCTTCAGTAACCCTTTCTCCTTCAGCTCTTCATATGTACAACGTGTGTTCTGTCTCCAGAAAAATCTGGCATGCAATTCATGGGATCGGAGAAAGTGGACACATCTCTGTGTCAGCAGTCCAGAAACTGGAAAACCTCACTGCCTGTTCTCCTGATGGCTTGTTACTCTGATCTACCTAACATCACATTAGACACAATTTTAAACTAATTTTTCTTTAAAGTACACGTGAAAATGTATTGAGAAAATAAGATTTTTTTCAAAACCAAATTTAAATACTTTTTTCTGAAGGAATTATATGTAAAACAAAACTGTCCTATAGGATAGCTCGTGATATATGTTACATGGTGGTTCCAAATTGATGCTTAAAATGTGAAGAAAAAGCTCGGTAATTCAAGGCAGATTTCCCGAGGGGCCTGAGGAAGGTGAAATGCCCACAGTGGCGTGACCTGCTGCAGCCTCTTTCTAGGGCAGGCTGCAAGGAGCAGCCGTGCTGACATGGAGCTCCTCCGTCAGTCCCATGTGGCTGCCTCTGACCCTGCTTTGTGGCTATAATTAGAAATAGACCGCAGCTGAAGCATATTCACTTCTGATAGATCATGTTTGCATTTAATCCTGCTGCAGACTTCCACTAGTGGAATGTAAAATCACTTTTTTAAGCAGCCATATAAAGCACAGAGATGAAAGAATATTTAGGCATCCTCTATGGACACTTTTGCAGTTTTCACTGTTGTTTTGTTGGTTTGGTTTTTTTTTTAAGAAGATTTTTTAACACTGCCGTTGTCAGTTTTTATATTCTCTCTAAGGTGCCTCATTTTTTTTTTTTTTTTCTAGATGAGATCACCGCCAGCTTTCGTAGGTTTGGACCTCTTGTGGTGGATTGGCCTCACAAAGCTGAAAGCAAGTCATATTTTCCACCTAAAGGTAATTTGTTTAGAATACACTTAAGGCTGTTCTGGTAAAAGGAAATTACATCTGCCATGTGGCAATCCACTACAAAGCAAAGTTTTGACTCTTTATGGTGAATTTTCTATCTTTCATCAAAGATATTTTCAGCCATTGTCATGATTGAAAAAAAGTTCACAATTTGGTTATTGAAATGTGCTCCTCTGTGTGTATTTCTTCAGCACGCCTTGAAACCTTGAATTATGACTTAATTTGTACCAGCAGTAGGTGGATGCAAGTTGCAAAAATGTCCTAGTTGATTCTGTTGTGGTTTGCACATTGCAAAACGCATGGGAGTAAGAGCTGGGAGTCACCTGGATTGGGTCACTGGGTTGGGTGCCCAGTGTTTTGCAGGAAGCAGCTCCAGCAGGTGCTGTGACCCAGGAGCTGTGATCCTGCTTGGAGGCACGAGCTCCATGCCAGGGCTGCCCGGGCACAGGGCGTGGGCCAGAGTGTGTGCAGGTGGGGCAACCTCTTATCAGTCAGCACAACATCAGGTAGACCTGTTTGGGGTGAGAAAGAACAGTTTATGGAAATCTGCTGGGGAGGGTTACTTGGCTAAATCAAACCGCCCTTACTGTGCCCAGGTCTCTCTGATTTTGTACAAAACATTCTCCTCTCTCCCACGTGTGCCTCTTGCATGTAGTTCCCGAGCTCACTCGTGATCTGAAACAGTAGCAGGAAGTTGTACACAAAATTTCTGGTCTATATGCAAAGATTTTCATTTCTCGTTGACCCTGGAAACTCTTAATTGCTCATTAAGGCCACTGATTATTTTGGCAGAACAACGGGCTGTTCAGTCAGTGAACTAGCTAATCCTGCAATATTTTGATAGATATATTTTGACTATAAAAACACACAAAAGCCAACTTAATTTATTTGGAAGCTTAATTGCTGGAGGTGAGATAACACTGTGACAAATACTTGACCCGTGAGCAGTATTTGGGACACTTAAAATCAGAAGAGAAACCGTACATGCTTCCTCTTTCCTGTTCCATTCTCACCACTCAGCCTTGCTGTCAGCAGTTATGCAACATCTGTTCTTGAATTTAAAAACAAATCGAAAAGCCCCAAAAACAACAAAAAAACACCCCAAACCTCAACCCCCCTGCAATATTAAGGACAGTTGGTAAAATATATGCTTTTCCCTTTTTATGTTATTTTAAAAGATCTCTGGGGTCTTTCTGGCTAGTGAATTCTAATTGTACCTTCGCCTAAAAGTTTTTTTTTAAAAGAGTAGAAAAGCCATTATCCTTATTATGCCCTTATTATCTCCTAGTATTCTCTACTTGTTTTCCCTTTTTATATTTTTTGTCTTATTAATTCAATAAGAAACTATTTGTTGAATTAACGTGGGGCATCCAGTTTTGGTTTTGTTCTGTATCTGACTGTGGGCTAGTTATGCCTTGACAAACTTGTAAAGTGTTTTTGAGTAAGATCTATTTTAGCAGAAGACAAGGGAATGCAGCCTCACTTCTATTTTTGTCATGATTCTAATATAGGAAACAGCTTTCAAAGCCCCTGCCAGTTGCCCTGAACGTCTGTCTGAAAGTGCTAAACAACAGTCAATCCCAACTGTTCCAGATTTATTTATATCTGACTTCTTAGTTATCAGTCAGGGCTGCAGCATCAGACATCCATGTCTGACATTCACTTACAGTCATGGTGAGCTCCTTAGGTCGAATGTACTTGATTGACTGTGATCCTGTACAGACAGCACCTACACCGAAGACAGAATATTATTTCCAGGAGACAAAGGGTAAAGTTTGAACGTCTTCTAATTTTTTCACAACTTTCTGGTTTTTTGTTTTTTGGGTTTTTTTGGTTTTTTTTAATAAAGAGTACTTACTTTTCAAAGTTATTACAGAATAATTTTCAGAAGCACCACAATGAAATTTCTCCAATGCTGGTTTTGATTAGAAATTTTAGACCTAAAATTTAAGTTGGTGGGCTTTGGTTTTGGTTTGTTTGTTTATTTTACTTCTTTATTTAAATCTGCTGGACATTTCCTTAAAAACCACAAAAAGAGATATTTGAAATTATGCTTGGTGCAAAATTCAGTGAGACTTATTCAGCTGTCAAATACTCATGAATTCAAATATTTTCTCCATTTTTCTAGATGTCTTGTCTTCCATGTTGCATTGCTAGTCTGTAAATTCTCTGACATTTTGAATATGACTCTTTCAAATGGAAAACATGTCCAGAAAAACAAAGGACAAATGAAATTATAGAGGAGAGAATGAGCTGGGATTTGTATGCTAGCAATCTTGAAAGAAAACAAGAAAAATGAATTGTTGGAATGAAATGGGGATGATGCAGAGGCTATTCAGACATGGATAAAGCCTGACCTTCAAGGCTTCTCCCACCTCCTTGAGTGTGCCCCAGAGGCAGTAAAATTGAGCCCTGCTCTTTCTGAACATATGTCATCACCTCCAGAAGGACTTCAGTGTCCTTTTGATGGATGGCCTTTTCCATTACTGCAGGGTCAGACCATGGGGCAGTGTCTGGTCTTTCAGCAAGGTTCAGGGCTTTTGTCTGTTTGCTTTGATGAGTGTTCACTGAGAGGTTTGGGGCAGACAACACGAGTAGGTGATGCCATGGGTCAGCACAGTCAGTGAAGTTTTATGCAGGAGCTGCTTCACATCATGGTTTTCTGTCTTCAGTTACATCCAGGTGATGCAACATCCCCTGCAGTCCTGAGTGAATCAATACAGATTTCCAGTATCTGCTTGTTGGTATAACTTATTGAATTTTGGAATGTTTGCTATGCTGGTGCAACACATGAATTCCCTGTAGTTGCCCTGTATTAGGAGCACTCTGTTGATATTAGGGCTAGGAAGAGAAGGCTGCAGAAACCATTAGCCATGGCTAATCTGATCAAGCATGAAAGATTAAAATGTTGCTTACAGTCTAGTGACCTCCACTAGCACCCAGCAGCCCTCCTGAGGGCTTTTTCTGGTTAGTTTAGTGAGCGAGTCAGGCCATGGATGTGCAGTCAGTTCCAGCAAGCCTTATTAGCTAATTTATTAGTTGGTGAGGTTGATGAGCTTAGCTGCAGTGGCATGTAAGCTATCACTGGGACCAGCTGGAGTCCAGAAATATTCCTGCAGCACTGAGCTTGAACAAAGTTGGTTTTCCTGGATTTGGCATCCTGAGCAGTATGGAGTCACCACAGGTCTGCTTAGACACATCACCTCAGATTTAGTGATGGGCCTGATGGACATAAATGTTTGTGTGTGAAATGATGCTGAGCTGGGATCTCCAACATGGTGAGTAACAGCAGGCTTATCCCAGTGTGGGGTCAGCAGTGACATTTTGGATCTTGGGGGTTGGCACAGCAACACAGAGGTATCTGCAACATATTCCTCAAGCACATCATTGCTAGCTGTATTATCCAGGTTTTCCTGTTTCCCAGATATTCTAGGGGCTTGTTACCCTTGCTGAAACTTGCCTGGCATCACAGAATACACTGATCACATGTTTGTGAAAGCAGTCTGGCTTTGTCAGCATTTGAATTTTGGACATTGTAACAGCAAACCCAGAATCATTCTGTAGATCAAGCACACCTTACCTGACGTTGCTTGCCAGTGAGTTCCATATTTAGGTTGCCGAGAGAACAGGGACGTTCTTGTCACTGAAAGTGAATATTGTGCACTTGGGCAAGAGAAACTGCCAACAGCTGACAATGTGTGCAAGAGGCTCCAATTTCTAGTTCTGAGCATCTGCATTGTTGCCTTAACATTTCTTTTTACTCCTCCTGTGCATTGTAAAGCTTAGCACAATGTTTTCATGTTTGTGTCATGCATGAGGTGGTTTTTAATGCTTTACCTCTGAATAAGGCTAATTCCTTCCCCTTGCCTGAGAAGTCTTTGGATTACAGATCCTTTGGCATCTGTTTGGATATGCTACTAACTGAACTGGCAAAATTATAAATGCCATGTGTTGGTCTTGGGTAAGCAGATGCCCAGTTCATAATGTGTTTACTTGGCTTTCACCCCAGAGTTTGGGAATTAAATGTGGTTTGTGGTTAAGTATCTTTTGAGTACCTATGAGACACTGAGAAATAAAGAAATATGTATTAAAGGATACTGTCTAAAGTAGTTGCATATTACCATGTCGCAGTCTATTTATCTCTGGCAAAATCCAGTTAATTCATGTTTTATTTAAATAGAAATTGATGGGGTTTTCACTTATTTGCTGGTGTGCTGAGTTAAGCAATGCTTATGCTAACTACAGTAATTTTTTTCTTTCCTTTTCTTTAATTAAACAGATGGTGCCAACTGTTTCAAAAACATTTTTTCAGTTGTTTTTTCTTCAACAGATTGCTAGCTTTAAAGCAACTTTTAAAAACCTCTTTAGTGGTTTTTCCTTTTGATAACTTCGATTTTTCTAGTAAGAACTGCACCATGTGTTTTAAAATGCCAAAAATTAGGCAAAAATTTTCACCCTTTTTTTTCCATTTAGAAACATTGATGTTTGTCTAGAGATGAGAATAAGAATTAGAAAATGAAGCATGGCAGAGCTTGAAGATAGGATGGGTTTGGAATGGTAGGAATGCTTTGGCTCTACAGTTGATTTAGATGTGTTGTGCAGTAGCCTGATCCTTTTGTGTTTTCCCTGTTCTTCAGTTCATTATCCTGTTATCTGATAAAATAAAGCACATTTGTCCCTACTGTTCCATATGGGACAGTAGGATGAGGGAGATCTCATGAAAAACAAAACAGTGTAAGTGAAGTTGCACAAATTAACATGAAATTATTGTCATGCTTTAATTTAAAAACAACTGGTGGGACAGACAGTGTGAGCCTCTCTGATTCTCTCCGAAGTACTCTTTAGATGGGAACACTGTTGTAGTCTTTTGACTGATCTTGATTTCATGGATCAAGACCATTTCCATGGTTAATTCCATTGCCACTGCAGTGGCAGTTGTAGTTTCTGCCAGAGGAACAAGAGTGAACAGTTGCAAGGAGAAAGTATGG